ACTATTGTTATCGGGAGTAAGCTCTACCAAGAGAGAAAACTGTTGTAGAAGATAGTCAATTTAAAGGAACTTTGGAGAAAACTGTGGGTTTCTACAGTGATGAGCGAAAATGTAGTTTGTAGAGGGCTTATAAGTAAGTTATTGAAGATAACTACTTTATCGTCTATCGGAGTCGTTCATAAGGAAAAATATTGCACATAAGTAGCTGAGTTTATAGGATTATAGTGTTTTTCTGTCGGTTGAATTATACCGTAACATGAGAATAAAGAAGCTCCGCACCATTTAAAAAAATTCTTACTTTCATTATAGTTCTCTTTAAGGACGCGAAATTCCAAGGCCGACGCATGTTACGTCCTAGTGTTCTTGCGGTTGATAAGATGTTAAATTGAACTTTTAATGATGATTTCTCAGTGTCCAAACAATGCTTCAATAAACGCAGGAATTTCTCGTACCCAGTACATCCCTTGGATAAGCTAGGCAATATTACAAGACGAGCGGGTATTTTAGTGTTTAAAAACATCTCATATAATTATTGCGCAGTAGCATGCGATCTGTCGTTTCAAGAATTTTTGTTTTTGCATTTGGTAAAAAAGCGCATATGTTTGATGGTTGAGGGAGATTCGGACCCAGTCCCTGGATCCGCCACCGCTCTTTACTAATTTTCTTTATTTACGTATGGATCAAAGATAATCCTTCCATTGCCCTTAAAACATTGATCACCTCCCGGGAGGAGGAAGAAGAGAGACAAGAAATACAACTGATGTTCGGACAGTCAACCTACTGTCATCATAGAGCCGTTCGGGAGATCTGGAGGAACCTAGAAGACTCTAAAAAAAGAGAGTTTGTTGTGTGTAAGACTACGGTTCATCCGGTGTTCAGCACATCTTTTGGTCTCCATGTTGCTGTGCTAACTGCGGACAAACCTCAGAAATTCATCTTTGGTAGAAGGGCCAATAGAGGTACCTATTCAGTTCACGCACCCTTTTGGCCTTTGTCAAGATTTTTTATAATTATTCACGAGTTTAGAATTTGAGTTAAAGGATCATGAAATCTCAGCTAAATTTAAGAATGCCGCACATTTTAGTGCCATCTTACCCTGATACTTCCCCATTAAAATCCCCATAATATTTTTTATGCCACTACATGACTGGGTCAGAAGGAGGTAGTTTATCAAGGCCAATAACAACGCTGATCTTTGCCAAATCCCTTCATAACTATGATTAGGCGTCGATCAATTCGAAGCTTCGACATCCCCCACCCAGGGGCAAAAATTATGTTCAAATCCCCCGCTCCATTTTTTTGTTAAGGCAAAATCAGCGACGGCGTCTTTCTACACATGGACCAAGCTTTAAAGCCCTAGACCTTGCGGACCTTTTCTTTTGAGCCATTCGCTCGCGAAAGTGAACTATTGACCATAAGTGAGCTCAACGAACGAGTGAGTCTTTAATGCATTACAACGAGTGAATAAAAATCATCCGTGCGCACTTTCTATGGTATGATGTTTTTATTTCATGCATACTGAGATTTTTTCACACAGACAGTCACATTTCAAAGACTGGAAGCAAACGACTATGAAATTACATCTTTCTTTCAATTAAGTGACCCGAACGATAGTACTTCCCAGTGTGAATCTCAATATGTATGAAACAAAATTTGGTTTTATCAACTGTGTTGATGATGTGAAGTGAGTTAGCCCCCGTAAAGAGATTCTAAAGCTTACGTTTCTAGCGCCAATTCGCTCTGGCCAGTTCGCATTACATGTGTCAACTTGTGTATAAACCAAAATTGTCTTGTAGCCAAAGGAAGGCCTTCATATTTTGTCTCGCATTGCCCGGCATTTTTTCACTAAGACCCGTTCTTATATTCTTTATTTTACAAAAACAGATAAATCCTCAAACTTTTATCAGGTAATTACAAGACTGTAGACACAACAATAAGCGATTAGGTGTTCATAAAATATTGTTTATTTTTTTTCTTTTCATGTTACTTTTCAGAGGGAATGCCAACCCCAGGCAAGCTTACCTGCGGGGCTGTGGAAAGTGTCTTAGTCAAGGACTACATTTATAAAAACGAGAAGCCTTACGTGGATCTGATCCATACTGCTGTGCGAGGACTGGAAGAAAAGCTGCGAGTGGAGTTGAAAGATAGTGACATCGAGGCTCTTTGCCTCTCAACAGATTACCTCAAGTTCTACACCCATGAGTGGGGTTGCTGTGGTTAGGTTGACCTGTCGGATGAACGAGTGGCTACCGAGCGACGACTGACCTTCGATCACCGCGGCTCTCGGTTCACGACGGGTCCTAAAGATAAGTTTGAGCACGAAGAAGTAGTGGCTGTTGACTTCGAACTGTCGCGGATGGTGGAGTTCGTGCGAGCGAACAACGAAGATTTTGCTAGCTCGGCCAAGCTAGTAGTGGTGAAGGTTTTGCAGTCGTTTTTCGGACTCGCTGCGCTCGAAATAGCTTTTCGCGTTTATCTAGAAGATGGAGACAATACTTTACATAAGCAGATTCCATCTTGAACAAATTTAGTGTTTAATCCTCTCCTTTTTTTGTCTTCTCAGTAATAGCCTTACTTAAAATTACCGCTGTCTCCATTTGGGGAGAATAGCCCTGCAAGAGTAGATTTATTAAGCGTATTAAGCGCTTGGGACTCGGTTGGGTCCCCAACGAGTGTCTTTCAGTGCTAACTCTGCCTTTATTGACTCAAGACTGAAGTTCATAGTATGTACCATGCTAGTCATGCGAGTGCAACAACCGTGTAAACTTGTCTTTTTGTTGTTTTCATTTTATTTTTCTCCTTGATTGCTATGCTAAACAAATCCCCCTTGCTACCACCTTGAGAAATATTTAAAGAACAGTATGGAAAATATGCATACTGATGTTAGGGTGTAAATTGTCAAAGAAATGAAATGTCGATCCGTTGCCCGTTTGCGTTCGCTTTATTTTTCCGTCGGTGAGCGAAGCGAGTAATGGTAAGCTAGCCCCTTATGTTCGCGTTCTGCTCGCTCTCTCCCAGATGACGAAACGATCTGTTAGACGCTAAATACGTGTAATTTGAAAAATTGCAAATGAAATTGCTGTATTTTATCCCACAGAAGAAATATTTTGGTTCCCTTTGATTTTGAAAGGCGAAAAAAATCGCTCAAAATATATTAGCGAAACTACTTTCTATCTCGTTATGCTAATTTTGCTCGAAAATGATGACATTTGCTCTCAGTTATTTTTATCCTAAACGTATATTGATATTTATCATGAAGTTAATTTGTTTACACTGTTGAATGAATTTCTTCTATGTTGCTCTTGGTTTCCTGTGTCATGACATCTCGAGCGAATCTAGATAAGTAAAATTTTCAATGCCATTTCAAAAAATGCAGCTATTTCTTATCGCACTTGGCAGTAGCAAATCTTCCGAACAACTGCTTCAAAGCACTTCACTCACTTGAAATTTTATCTATATAAACCTAACTCCACCAATTGAAAATGACACCTGCCTTTGAGATGGCGATCAATTATTGATCATTTTAATATGAACTCATGAGAACTCCATGCAGCCAACTTGCGGCTTCTAATAACAGTTTCGGTATAACACATGTTGAATTCATTTATCGGTGAATGGGTCCCTAATGTTCTCATGACTTCGTTACTGACCCGCCCGAGATTTGCACAACAGTGTGAAGATCACGTGAAACCAGTAAGTGCTACTTAAAACAGCGTGCGATTGTGAAGACCTCAGTCGCGCGGTTTTCCGGCCAACTCGAAAGGCACTGTTTTGTTTACATCACCATCTCTTCGAGTGGGATGAAAAACCAGACAGTAAATCGAAGACACGCAACTTCCATAGTTTATTTAGCGTCACATTTTCGAAAAAAACTACAGATATAAGCTTGTTGTGGATTTCAAGACCGGCGGACAACAACACAATGATTGATTTATTCCAAGTCATTATCGCTTGAAAACAGACAGACTTTGGGTTAAGTAATTACGGAATAAATTCTTTTTTTAAGGGGCCTTTGAGCCACGCTGCCAAAAAATAAACCAGATGCTTTGCTAACAGGTAGAAAAGATGTCTAAAGGTCCAGAAGGAGGAGAAGAAAAAATTAAAGTTGGTAAATGATATTTGAGGTTGGTATATAATTTGGTTTAAAAATGCTCAGTTGTCTTTATGCATTGTATGCAATAAAATTGTCCTTAAGGGGCTTAGAAAAGTTTGTTTAGTGTAAAAACAAATTGAATTTTCAGTCTTCTGTCAAGGCCCATTAGGATCTGTGTTTAATATTTTGTCGTGTGTCCGAGGAGGGACAAATTGACTCGCCTAGCTTCCAGCTGAGGTATTGTTTCGTTGACATTGCGTTGTAGACACAATTTGTAACGCTCACGGAATATGTTACTGGGAAAGAATGGAAGAGATGGTCGTGCGTAATGTTCAGATCATCTCTCGAAAATAGCATGCATGCAATCGGGCGGGAGATCAGATTTCCTTGTCCGACAAATGGGTCATAATCCTTCCCTTTGAAGTCTGAATTACCCAATCATATCTTGTCTGTTCCAACCACCAGGGACTGACTGAGTGTGAAAATCAGTCAACACTATATTTTTCTTTGGAGTCTTAGCGAAGAAACATTTTGTGAAAATTGCCGCTTCAATGTTAGAAGAAGTTACATTCGAGCAGTAATAATTTTGACCCTTGACACGCACAGTTCTTGCCAATTCGTGCCCTTCTCTTGTTGTGAAGGAAAGCTTATTAGTCCGTCCGACCTTGGCATTGACTTCTCAAGAAATTGTACTTCTAGTAACTTTATATGTGGGCTTCATACGACTGAAGTGGAGTGTCGACTGAAGAAAATACTTCATTCGGGTAAAGAGTCACGAATTAGCTTGAACCATCTGGAAAAACGATGATGCCTTTCTAAACAGATTCAAGAGAAAACACTGCAAATACTGACCGCCGCTTGGAATAATGTACAGTGTATTTTGAAGGTTCGTGAACGGGCCGGAGAAATGAATTTAAAGAAACTTGAACGTATTTCGCCACCAGTGGATCGATTCTGGAGGCGAAAGAGAACCCAAACGTGGCCGAATGTTCCGTTATCGGAACTGAGTAAATTAAAGGGATGGAATCTGCTAGCGACGATTCCCGAAAGCGATGCAGTAAAATCTTCGGAAAAGAGTTCGGGGCGACGAGCTCGCGCCAAAACTGTTTCAGACCTCCGAGTGCGTATTCAAGATGAGCAACTGAGAAAGATTATCTTGGAAGTGCTTACGTCGTATTTGTCACAATTTTCAGAATATAATCATATTCTTTTCGGACGGCTTGGCCCCTTGCTAAGTGAATTGATAAAAGTTCGTGTCGAGGAGTGCATTGAGGAACGATGTAAAATAGTCTCACAGGTTTATATCGGAGCTGTTGTTGGTGAAGGAATAGACGCGGCAACACAATGTCTATGGACGCCACATTGTGATAAATATGCCACGGCTAGTTATGGTACTCAGTTTTTATTTGCTGTGGGAATCGTGTTCGTTGTACAATTATAAAGTAACGTAGACATCCCCAACAGGGTGCTGCGTATCAATTACGTGTGTCTGACACCCTTAGTTTGGTGAGACAGCACGGCAGCTCACGTGCGCGTTCCCAGCAGACGGGGACATTTATCTGATGGGCTTGTTGATGTCAAATGGAAATCCTCTAAGTACGGGAGAATTTTTTAACATTTTGAAATTCCAATAAATCGATTCTTTGCCGGCTAGAAATAGGTTAAAGCCTGTCAGAAATTTATTTTCTCCTCGACTGATACAACCCAAAAAATTAATTTCAGAAAGGTTATCGAAGGGATTTAAATAAACTGCGAACTAAGGACGATTAGTATAAATCATAGTTAACATGGTACTTTCCATCTGATTCTTGGTCTTAAGTTGCATCTTTAATCCACTCATGGGTTCAGCCTTATGAGCCGAGCTTAATACCTTGTTAGAAAATCAATGAACGTTCTTTTTCGATTGAGATCTGCTCAGCAATATAAGAGTTCCTTTTGCGCACGCGCGGGGAGAGGGGGTTGACTCTTGTGTCGTTCGCGTTCCTCGCGAGAACTTCAAACCTGGAAATCATTGATATTTCTCTGGGTTGCGCCACAGTTATTACGAACTAAGACCAAAAAAGGGCAATGCATAGTGAAATTTTAACATTAACTTTGACTTACCCTCTCAAGGATGACTACTGGGTAAAGTATCTGCTTACAGCATCATGAACACATGTTCAAGCAGAAAGGTGATGGGAAAAAATATGCGAAGGTGACGTTCAATTTCACAGAGTCCAAATGAAAAGAAAACTGATAGCAGGCTAGACTTGACTGTGGCAAAAACTGATTATGAGGCCTTAAAGAGTGAAAAGGTATCTGGGGGCTGGTGGTATTATTAGGATCTTTTACCTCGTGGAGTCTAATTAGTGTGATACGAGCTTCCAAAGCCTTGAAAAATTATGTTTTCATAAACATATGAACGTGTGCTTTCGTTGCACTTCTTACCTACGAGGGAAGAACTTTGCAAAGCATGCTTCACGGGTGAACTGTAGATGCGCGTCACCAATGTCTTTGCCGGTATTGAGTTGCAACGCGTTTCTATGTGAATCACTAACGTTTTCCTTGTACAACCCTGCATAGCCAGTCATGCAAGTTCTGCCGGGAAGGAGAGTTTAGGCCTCTCTAGATTGTGCTTGTAAAAGTAGGTTGTTATACCACTAGCATTGCCCATTCTTTTTCCAAATTATACTCAAAATTATGCCCTTTTTTAACTTTATGCTTCTTTTGTGCTTTCCGAAAAAAATTTTCAAATCATGAATTTATTGTTGCTCAGATAAAACACAACTACTACCATTTTGTTGCATGTGAAAGCGTGAACAATCACCCATCCCCCAATGCAAAGTTCAATGATCAAGAGCAATCAACACTTCCGGCGTGTACCCAGTCATCTAAACGAGGAGCAACGCGAGTGTTGTGTAAATCTTCTTCCCCCAAAACTGCAAAATTGAAAATAGGCTGAGCCGTGGACCGCACTTGCAATGGCTCATTAATGTTCCCCTCAGAAAAAAATATATATCATCTGGTCTCAAACCTGACCATAACCATCCCTCTCGTTTAACTCTTTTATACGCCGACCCTTTAATTAACGTCCAATAAATAGCAACTCTCATGTGATGAGCTAGAGTTTTAGGCGTTCATCGATCATTTGAGATAGCTGAACTGATATAATCGAAGTGAGGAAACAGCTAGAATTAGAACCGTGGCTTTTAAGTGACCGTAATGGTAGTAGCCCTGATGATCTTTACTTCTATCGCCTAGAGCAACAATCGTTTGAATTGAAAGCGCCTGGCAAACTGTCTGTGAGATAACAATTGTGAAATACTCCACGATTTTCAAAGAAAGAAAAAAAAGAACGATACAAAGTGCTAGGAGTCAAGACTACTTTCTATAATTTTCAATTCTTCGGACAAAGTGTGCTTGCGAATTTCTCTCCCTTCTCCCACCATGATATCGACACCAGCGATTATTATTCTTTTACTCTACATCCTATTTTTTTTTAATCTGACGGGGATAAGATAAGAAGTCGCAATAAACTTAACCTTGTAGTGTAAATACCTCAAACGAAGCCAATTCAAGTCATTCTTGTGCAAACGGCAGATACCATATGGCGCTCAACAAGGCTCATTTCTTGTTTGCATAAGAAGCCATAGGAAATTTATTATCTCATGATTTGAAACTTTTTGATGATGTGCCGTAACTTCAAAGTAAGGCATTTTTTTTTCCTCTTGTTTCTCTTGCGTAAAATAATCTGTGTTTTGAAAACTAATTATACCGTACATACTTGAAAAAAAATAATCATAAAATAGAATACTGAGCTGCGGTTGTTCCTACGAAAACAGTTTTAGTTGGGACAGCGGTTGCGCAAACGGGATGGCACCATTGACATCAGCCCAGACAGATCGGATTCCGTCTCCATTCTAACCAGCAGCATGCAGCATGGAAATCATGATATCGGTTATGCTAACGTAAATTTTTAATTTTCGGCCATCATGTCATCTTTCTTATTTTAAAAGACGAATGAGAAATCTTGGGCATTTTGATATTAATAAGTTTTTATTTTCAACAAGCTCTCAGTTTCCAGAACGAAATTCTTGTTTATATCACAGGTACCATCAGTTGACGCATTGGCGGTGCAGCGGCCTAACCATACTTGATTCATGCGCGATTCACGCGCGATTCACGCGCGATTCACGCGCGATTCAGACGCGATTCACGCGCGATTCACGCATGACCATGCTCGACTCGCCAGCCTTCGATAAAGGCCTAAAACGCGGCCCAAGCAAGCCGGGAAGAAATGTGGTTGTTCTTTTAGACGCACGAAAAGACTTGCTTCGTCCGGGATGCGCTCTGATTGGGTTGATCACGCGCTCCATTACAGGTCGGGAGAAAGATTGTGTAACGCAACTTCATGTGTGGCCAGTCGGCTTGGCGAAGGGAACATTGCACCTTGACGAAACGAAATGCTCCTTGGAAAGTCGAAAATGAGCAAGGGAGAAATAATAAGATTGATTTTAGCCAACTAAATGTGGAATCTTACACGATAGACTGCAGAAGGGATTGGTTTTCATCATCTCCCTTTTTTTTTTTGGGGGGGTTGACTGTGGCAAAAACTGATTATGAGGCCTTAAAGAGTGAAAAGGTATCTGGGGGCTGGTGGTATTATTAGGATCTTTTACCTCG